GCAAACAGTTATATTTGTTCTCTCTTTCACAGTTCTCCCAACAAATTGCTTCATAATCACTATTTCACAGATATCTCTTTCAAACATACGCAAGAGAACAGTCCCACTATGCAAGGGTCACGCTACTATAGGATGCAATCACTAGCAAATGACCTCAATGTGCAAACTCTGACTCTAACACTCACACAACCCAGCTTCATGATTTGCCTAAACAGTTCTGTGTTGTCTGAACAGTTCTCTACCAGATACCAATGATTGTGAAGTTAAAATCCTCATTTTCTTTCCCACCCATGAAAAGAAAAGCTCCAATAAATTTTTTTTGCATCAAACATTTTCCAATCGTATAATCTGCAAAGTTTACAAGAACCTATTGAAATTCATAAGCTTTTCCAAAACCCACACTGTGAACTCACAGCTTCATTTCTAAAATCAGTAAAACAAGCAAGCACGAAACTATATGTGGAAACTTGCCAACAGTATCAACACACTCAAGCATCACAAGATGAAATCTTTAAGACAATGCAAGTGAAGATGGGTCAGAGAGAGACAGAGAAAAGGACCCACTAACCTGGGACGGCTCTTCCATATTAGAAATCCGAGAAGATTGATGAGAGAGTTAAGAATGAAGAACACAAACAAAACCCAAAAAAGCTCTTCTTTATTGAAATCAAAAGAATCAAACAAAACCCAAAAACGTGTTTCCCTCTAGCTTTGGATGAGTCTCACAATCAAAGACTTCATCCCTCTATATCAATTGCATAAGAAAATCCAATCAAGTCATCTGCTAATCGATGAAGCAACTACTTTTACTGTCGGAATATTCGAAATCTCTAATCTTGGAGCAAGGTTCAAAACGTTGTTGATTCGACCGAACAGAACTATCAGCTCCCTTAAAGACACGGTCTTTCCAACAAAAGATCTGATTAGATTGTTGTCGGAATATTCCAGTTATTCAATCAGGGATTGCTTGATCATGACACAAAGCATCCGATTCTTCACAAGTATTTAGGGTTGACCATCTTTATAGTCATCTGAGGAAATTGACAAATTCAAAGGCTTC